GCAGGATGGACAGGCTGCCTTAACACCCACCCTTCCAGTGAGGACCCTGAGGATGCAGTTCTCCCTCAGGCCTTTCCTTCCCTGATTAACCCCCCTTCTCCCCAAAAGCATGCCTCAAACTGCTCTGAATTAGAAACATCCAGCGCAGAGGCACCGCTATTCATGCGACGGGACTAATGCACGCACACAGAGACATCTCTTCCTACAAGGAACACAGTAACTTTCTTGGGCAATTGCAGTGAAAAACCTCTCCTGGGCATTGCTGCTCCACTCACCATCTACTGGGGTAGGAAAGGGCCCAGAAGTTTCAGCAAGTTCCACAATATTTTCATATATAGCATTAAGAACATTCAACTTGAAACAGAGACAGCACAGTCACAGTATTTTATGGGTGAAAGGACTTAATACAAAGCAGATATATTAATGCAAGATACAGCTAATTCATCTTCCTAAACCAGATGGTTCTGACATTTTTGGACACCTTGTTCCTATTTCCTCCCCGTTGTATAGTGGAGACTTAGCTTTGTTTTTCCTTCTTTCCGCAGTTATCTGATCATGCACAAGCAGACACCATTGTGCAAGAAACAGGCTCATCCAAAACATCACTGTGACTTCCCCTCAGCTTCAGCCTCAGATGACATTTGCTTTTTGTTACCTCCACTAGCTCTTAAGCCACAAAATCTCCCTGCTTTTGCCAGCTGCTCAATAATCCAAGAGAAGGACCTCCATACGCTAAGCCATGGGGACCCACAGCCCAAGGGCATAGCTTAATGCCCTCCAAATATAGACCTGGACATTGGTCCACTGGCATAACTTTTAAACATTCAGCAACTGCTCTAAATTAGGAAACTGCTCCACAAATGCTCCTAGAGCTGTTCTGCATCTACTGGGAATTCTCTTCAGATGTGTAAGAGAAGGAATAGCTGCTACCAGGACACTGCCCTCGCCATATCTGTGGGTTGCGAGGAGGCCCACGAGAACTTCACAAGGAGCTACAGCTCTCGCAGGGAAAATTCACACTGCGAGGAATCTGCCCCCAGTGGTCTCAGGATCATTCCACAAACTGGCTCAGCTTCCTTACACAGAAATCTGGGGATCTGGGGTGCCCAAGAGAGCAATTCTCACAATACCAGGCTCAAGTCTCAGCTCCCCAGTTTGCTGCCACGCGTAAAACGCAATGACCATGGCAAAGCCCTGAGAGCAGATCCCACCATCCAGTGGGACCAGGGGGAAAAAGACTGAGGAAAGAGAGGAGAAGACCGTGTCATGGAATCATAGAATCATAGAGTTGTCCAGGCCGGAAGGGACCTCCAAAGGCCATCTAGTCCGACCCCCCCGCAGTCAGCAGGGACACCCCCAACTAGACCAGGTTGCTCAGGGCCTTATCGAGCCACTCCTTGAATATCTCCAGGGATGGGGCCTCAACCACCTCCCTGGGCAACCTGTTCCAGTGCTCCACCACCCTCACAGTGAAGAACCCTCTCCTCATCTCCAGTCTAAATCTGTTCCCCTCCAGCTTGAAGCCATTGCCCCTCGTCCTGTCACTACAGGCCTTTCTAAACAGGCTCTCCCCAGCCTTCCTGTAGGCTCCCTTCAGGTACTGGAAGGCTGCTATTAGGTCTCCCCGGAGCCTCCTCTTCTCCAGGCTGAACAACCCCAGCTCCCTCAGCCTGTCCTCGGAGCAGAGGTGCTCCATCCCCCTGATCATCTTTGTGGCCCTCCTCTGGACCCTCTCCATCAGGTCTATATCCTTCTTATATTGAGGGCTCCAGACCTGCACACAATACTCCAGGTGAGGTCTCACCAGAGCAGAGTAAAGTGGCAGAATCCCCTCTCTGGACCTGCTGGCAACGCATCTTTTGATGCAGCCCAGGATGGGATTGGCCTTCTGGGCTGCAAGTGCCCACTGCCTGCTCATGTCCAGCTTCTCCTCCACCAGCACCCCCAAGTCCCTTTCCTCAGGGCTGTCGCCCATCTAGGCTCTCCAAACCTTAGAGGTCAGTGCCCCAACCAGCTGGCTGTCCTCTGCTTTCCAGTGTCACTGCACTTCCTGCTCAAGTTGTGGAAAAACGATGGAAAGATTCAGCCAGCTGAAAGATGGAGCTCAGCTCCCTGACGTGCTGCCTGCGGCGCTCACCTGGCAAAGGGCAAACCTGGGCTGCCAGCCCTGCTTCAAGGAACTACGTTCTACTTTCTGCGTTGAATAGCCAGCAATTAAAACGCACAAACAGTCCTCAAAGCCATAATCTCAATGTAAATAGTCCCCGAAATAAAACGTTGCGCTAGTCAAATCATCAGCACGATCGCTGGAGGCGGGAGGAAGGTGAATACCTGCCTTAAGACCTTGCTTCTGTCAATACTTAGTTATTCATGCGAAGTGGAACAGCCCTAACGTAGGCTGGAGCTCAGCACACAGCCCTGCGAGCTGGACCTGGTTCAAATTTCCTAAAGGCAGGGGAGGTAACTGAGCCGGGGTGTCCCACATCCGAGGTGACCGCACTAACTCCTGCGACGCTTCGTGGAAAGAAGATGCTGCCACGACTGCTGCCGCTGCCTGCCACCTCCCTTCATCTTGCCAAACCCAGCAGTTTGCTTTGAGAAAGCTCAAGGCAAACCTATTTCATTAAATGTGAGGAAAAAATGGTGTGGGGATAAAAGATTCCCTTTTTTGGGGCGGGTGGGAAATGCAGACTTTTCTCCCCTAACGTCCTGATTCTGCCACTGATCTCCCTCACTCTCTCCCCCCCTAAAAATAGCCACACAACCCAGGAACAGATGAATCCCACCGAAGTCAAGGGTAGTGGTAAGACTTCTGAAAACTTGGTGCACTTCTAATTTGGGCGCCAACGAACTCAGCAGATTAACAGGTGTCAACATGTTCACTCACAGGGCTTAATAAAAGCAAAAGGCATTTGGGCCCCGAATTGGAGAGCAGCAGAACAAAGCTGGTGTGCTCAGCATAGAGCAGGAGCACACGTTGTTCATCACCTCATGCCATCTACACCCATACGTGTTCTTCCCTACATTCCACGGCAGGGATGTGTGCATTCAATATTTAATCTGCACTAGCACTTGGGGACATCAATTAGACATGTGTTATATCTTTTAGAACATACGTAAGTAGAGAAGCAGAGAGAGATGAATCTCAATGCGTATTTCAAATCTCCAAAGGTGAAGCTCTTTACAGATGGACTGACATAAAAAAGACATTGAGGTGCTGGAGCGGGTCCAGAGAAGGGCGACAAAGATGGTGAGGGGTCTGGAGAATAAGTCTTATGAGGAGAGGCTGAGGGAGCTGGGGTTATTCAGCCTGGAGAAGAGGAGGCTGAGGGGAGACCTTATTGCTCTCTCCAACTCCCTGAAAGGAGGGTGTAGAGAGATGGGGGTCGGTCTCTTTTCTCAAGTCACAGGCGACAGGACGAGAGGAAATGGCCTCAAGTTGCGCCAGGGGAGGTTCAGGCTGGATATTAGGAAAAAAATTTTCACTGAAAGGGTTCTCAGCCATTGGAATGGGCTGCCCAGGGAGGGGGTTGAGGCCCCATCCCTGGAGGTGTTCAAAAGCCGGGTTGATGTAGTGCTGGGAGGTCTGGTTTAGTGATGATGCTCCTTGTTTGTTGTGTGGGTGTCTATTTTTGTCAGTGAGGTTGACGGTTGGACAAGATGATCTTTAAGGTCCCTTCCAACCTAGAAGATTCTGTGATTCTGTGATTCTGTGACTGGGTCAATTCACCTCTATGCACAGGGCTCCTCTAAGTCTCAAGCACTAGCTGGTACGTGGTGTCCTGCTATTTCTTCATGGTGGGAATTTTACCTGCTGTGTATGATACCTCTTAATTCCCCAGCATTAATTTTTGCCCCCAGGCGAGATTCTCACAAGTGCCATAAAGTACGCAGTTACCTCATTCCTACTGTCTAATCAGAATTTCAAGAGAATGAGGTAACCAATCTCACCACCAATAAATTTATTATCATTGCTCAACCCAATTTCCCTCCTTTCTTTTCATTTATTCCATTAAACCTATTAATACCCAGGCTCTTGTATTAATGCTATGCATTTATGGCACTTTGAGTAACGATTCCCACAGCGAGAGGCAGCTCTGAGCTCCACCATGAATTCCCAAACTCCTGCTGGAAGGACACTAACTCGGGATGAGGTGTCTGCAGCCAGTTCCCAGCTCAGGAAAGAAGGACCCTGTACAACTCCAAGCAGAGCAGAGGCTCCTGGTAACTTCTGCAGAGCTACATACGGCACCTTGGTGGCACAGCTCAGAGAGGCTGGAAGTCCCCCAGGTGTGTTTTTTTCCACCCCTTCTTTCTAAGCTTGGGCAACTGGGCTGAGACACCTTAAGAAGCCTGAGCAATTCTGCCAGCCCCTTGAAAAAAAAAAAAAATATCAAGCTTTTTATTGATTTTTGGCATTTCTGAGCATGTCGGAAAGCCTCGGGACTGCGTATTACCAGTCACTTTTGACACTCAGGCTGTGGTGTTGCTTGGGGCTGGCAAAATACGGATAAACATTATCCCAAGACATACTTTCTGATAACAAGTTGAAGGTTCCTTTGGCTTTCTTTCATCCTGTTACTATAAATTCTTGCCCAAATTTCTCAGGAGGGCAGAACTCAAATCCATTTAGATGTACCCATGAAGTAATAAATATAATAATAATTAATAGGTTACTTAGATAAAGGCTTTCCATCTTAGGACAGAGGAAAGTATTAGTTAATTAATCATCAAGCTGGCATTAACTTATCTTTTGGCACCTACAATAAAATGTAAATCTAAAAGGAGCAATAGGAGGGGGAACAAAGAGCTAAGAAGCCAACAATAGTTTTGGAAATGGATGACAAAATCCAAATGTTCTGCCTCACTGCTGCTAAATTAAGCGCAGTGTTATCAGTGCAAAGATTAAAAAAAGAGAGATTTTCCTCTGAACCTGAAGTCACACTTCTTAGCCGCACAGGACATGCCAGCAGTAGTGAAGACAAGAGAATTCACTCACCCTGAAAATGAGTGGAAATAAAAAAGGATCTGTTCAGTTCTTGATTTCCCCAAACACAGTTCTATAGAGTAGAAAAAAAGAAAGAAGGACATTAGTTTATTGTACACAGCAGAGGAAGAAGAGAACCCCCACGCTCCTTCCCTTCCTCGGCACCGTCCAACCCAAGGCTCTGCCTTCAGCCCTTTCCCTGCAGGGCACGAGGCAGGGGATTACAGCCAACCTGCCCTCTTTTTATACTGCTAAGTGAAAAGGGCTCTAGTGAGATCCTGGCTTTAGTTGAATATTGTCCTGGGAATTATTTTGGTGCAAAAAGGATGAGAAAAATTGTTTTCCCACCTTCCATCAGAGGCTCTCAAGCTGCCAAACAGAGATGAAAGATCCTCACGTGGAATTGACTTTTCTCCAATTGATCTGGTTTAGCTTCCTTTTGAGTAAAAGCCACTCTTTCAGAGAGAGGTCAGTTCCAGAAACACACAAGTAACATTCACTGTGTGCATCAAGTTGAGTGTTAAGGGACACAGGGTTCTCCCCTGACTCCTCTACCTACAGCCAAACCGCACCTTCTCTGCCTGCAGGAAACACAACTGCTGCAATGCTTTAAACTGTAGTCTTGACCACTGACCTATTCTTGGTAAAATCACTTAATCAACCTGTATCGCCATCTATTTCTTAGATAAACACGATGATATATTCCCCTCAGAAGAAAAAAAATGTTGAAAACAATTGCAAAATACCGCTAAAAAGAAAAATATTCCATCTGCCGCTTTTACCCCAAATCTAGATGAGAACCACCAAGGGAAATGATTATACATATTTCTTCCAAAACTGCAACTAATAAACGTTCAGTTCAGTTTCAGTTTCATGTCAAACGTTTTGCAACCACCCTTGGGTCTTTATTTGATCAAAGTAACCGTGCTCCTTCCCGCCGAGGCACAGGGAAATCACTGCCGGGCAAAGGAGACAGTAGGATGGATGCTCCTCCAGAAAGCCATTTTATTACCAAATGATCTGGGAATAAGGAAAGGCAGAAAGACAGCCTTAAACTATCTTTACTCCTGACTTTAATTCAACATATCCTAAATGACATTTGCCTGCAATGACCTCCCAGGAGTCCCTCTACCATCTAAGAGTCTCTAGAGTCTATAAACCCAGTGTTGCCAGAAGGCATGAAGGCACCTGAGACAGCCCCCGTGACACCTGGGGAAATCATGATGTTCCACAAAGCCAGGTTCAATAAGCAAAAATCAAGGTATTTCTAACCAGCAGGGCTACTTAGGCACAGCACAGAGCCCACAGCTTCTCAGAGAGACCCTACAAGCTCATCCGGATGGAAACTTATTCCTTCCATAGATCCATACGCTACCCCTAATATTCTCTTTCCTTCCGTTTCCCTTTTGCCACCAAAATGATATGAAATCTGGCAATTGGGCGTGTTCTGACTGAATGCACGAAACCCACCAAGACCTGGCCTTAGAGGCATCAAAGCCCATTGAGAGGCTGCGTTGTTTCCCCCAACTTGTCCAGCCACAGAGACTCACAAACCCACAGCAAGGAGAGGTTAAATGTTTCTGGATCTCCAAAAGAAGAGAGGATGCAGTTTTAGGTGTCAGGGTTGGTTGGTTTTTTTTCACTGAATCTTGCATTCATTAATTTCATTTCAAGAATGAAGTCAGATTTTCTTTTTTTTTTCTTTTTTTTTTTTTTTAATGTGGCTGGTTATTTGACGAGTGAAGCATTAGATTTGTGAGTTGTTCTGCAAGCCAAAACATGCTCCCTTTCATTCATAACACTGAGCTGCGCTGCGTTAAACAGCCGATTATCATGAATGAAGTGGGTGTAACTTCCTTGAAATCCTCCAAAGACCTGTCAAAGCAGAGCTACTGCAGCTCAGTTTTCTCCTTGAAGCGTACAGATCATTGGTTTAATTGTTCCACGCTGATCTTGAAATATGCTTTCTGGGTTCAAAGCATTAGGCGGTATCATTTTTTGAGGAGGAAAGGGGAAGGGTGGAGAAACGGTGCCTCGGGATAAGAGAGAAAAGTGGGTCTACGTCTCAACCATCAAATTTAGATTTTCTTCTGGAATCTAAATTGAGCTTCATCCATTTAAAAGTGTGTCAGACAAAACCTTACAAATCAAAGCCCTGGCCTGTTTTGCATGGATAATCAAGAGCCTCTGGCTCTTTTTGTAAGAGGAAACATTTAACCCTAAAGAGAAGAGGATTGATCTTGATGGTTAAAGAGCTGGCCAGTGACTTAGAAAATTTCAATGTGACTCCAGGTCTGCCGTTCTCCATCCCATTCCAAACCTTTTGGTGGTACCACTTTTCCAAAGGAACATGCTGATATTTGTAAATTCTGCAAAGTCTTTCAGCTTAGAGACTGAAAGTCTGCACACACGCTAATAAATAAATATATTACAATCTGTCTATGAACCTGTTTAATATAAAGATCCTTCCAAATATGGCCATTATCCTTAAGAAAAAGACCTGCAGCCTCTCAGCTGTTCATCTTATCACACTTTAGGGCACCAATGGGTGGATCTTGGCCAGGAATAATGGTAGTGCCATCGACTTGGGTGGACCCAGTAGGCATCTGATCCACCTCTGATGTCCCGCCTAACATTTTGAAAGCCTGGCAAGCTAGACACAAATACAGGAAACTCAGAAAAGAAAAAAGAAAACATGAGTACTAACACACTTACAAGGGTCTCAGGAAAGTGGCACCAGTGAAAACCATTGCAATTTTTGCATTTCAGCCCAGATTTCCTGCTAAATTTCATTATCTCACCCACAACCAAAACAACAACAAATCTCGCTGTTAGTTTCACAACAAGAGTCTTTACACATCTCTTAACAGCTACAACACTAACAAAGGCTGGCGCTTATGGAAAAAAAAATATATATATATTTGTCCAGCATTTTGGAAATCTCCAAACTAGTAACACATTGCAGCCAGCTCCAGAGAGAGCCCTGCTTCCCACCTGTTCCCCATTCCTTTATCAGCCCCCCACAATGAGGTGATACCCCCCTGGGAGCATCCCCATTTTTACTGGAGACTCCTGAAATGCCATCCCCTCTCCGTAAGACTCCAGCGCAGAGCGCCGAAGGTGCCCACAGCAGGGCAGGTCCTCTACCAGCTCCATCTTGTAAAAATCCACATCTCTTCCTTGCTTATCAGCAAACAGAAATCACAAGACCGTGTCCCGAGGGATTATTCTGCTCCCATTAAAGGGAGCGAGAATTTTGACACGGGTTTAAAAAGCGGCAGGAGCTGGCTGACACAGAAGCAGGTCTGACAGGTTGCATTTTCATTCTCATTACTATTACAGGCATGAGGATTTCATTTCTATTTATCTTTAGCTGGCATTCGGTCCTGGATTTAAACTGCATCTGTGGCTGCATTGCTGTGAAATGTATCACTACTTATGACTCACTGCAAAGGACACATTTGTAAACTGACCCACCATTGACAAAATCCTCTCTTTCTTCATTTGTAGGAGGCGAGATGAGGCATAGGTTCCTTGTCTGATTCATTTCCTGAGGAAATTTTTACTCTATGCATCTTTTTCAGTCCTTATTCAGTCAGCGAGTAGTGAAGTGATTAATACAAAATCCATGCTTGACACAGAGTGGAAGGAGGATTCAAATTCTTTTAAAATCAGCGCTTAATTAATTGCTTAGAAAAACAACCCGTTGCCAAAAATGTGTGGGGTTGTTTTTTGGCTTTTTTTTTTCTTTTCTTTTCTTTCCCCCTCTCTTTTTTTTTTCTTTTTTTTTTTTTTTTTTTTTTTTCCAGTTGAGAAAGCTTTTTCAGTCGAGAAACTAATTACAGGCATCGGCACACAGCGAAATGCACGAAGGACAAATCTGGCACCTTTTGAAAATCAGCCCCTCGGAAGGAAGAATTAGCAACCTGGCCAGAGCTCCAGGCAACCCCAGCTCTCCTGCGTCTGGCGCTCGAGCTAATTCACTTACAGCCAGCTCTGGTCCTTTCTCACACCACTGCAGAAACCCTGGGAGAGCTGGATATCTCACACCTCTGACAAACACAGACAATGCTCAGAAAATTAAAACTGCCAGAAACAAAAGATAACACAAAGAGAGAGAGCCCCGAGGAAACTGCAGTAAGTTTCTTTGACAATTTTTTTATCTACCTGATTATTCGTATCAAGACAGTACTAACCAAGTCCAGATCGGGATGGGGTTGTGAACAATCCCCGGGGTTTGGAAGGCTGTTCAGAACTTGGCACTCGGGATCAGGCTCATTTCTCCATCCTATCGGGGTGGACAGTGGGAGCCTACGGGATTAGGGAGAAAAATGAGCGTGTCCTTTCCCTTCATTTCTTCTCCCTCTCTCCCTCTCCACATTCTTCTCCTCTTGTCTTTCTCACCGCAAGCACTGAATGATGGGATTTTTGACATCAGAGGAAAGTCATCCTTTCTCCACTCCCCCAGCTCCTGCCTGCTTCCTCCTTATACACGTCCGCTCGTTTACATGCTATATCCCCACTCAAACAACGGGATCAGCTGATCCAACCACAGCTTGGGCTAACTAAGCATCCTAAATCCTGCCCAAAGTAGACCAGACTGACTGGTTCATTCACCCCGGCAGCCTGCTACCAACCAGCCTTTAAAGCCCATTTTGTAACTGCGACATAGCTGGCACCGACTATAGCAAAGTCATTGTTTAGTCAAGGTAAAGTGACCTCTATTTACTTAGACAACTCAGCTGCCTACAGGGAATAACTGGATTTGAGATAAGTGAAAATTTGCTGGGAAAGTTTCACTTTGGCTGGGCTGACGCTCACTACAATAAGCCAAATGTTTGGTCAGTTCATGCCCTTTCTCCTGCAGTTTCTTCAGCCCTTTGATTTATTATCTGCGACGAGACAGCAAATGACCCCATCCAATTTCAGCGAGCCCGTGGTGAGCCAAAGACAGAGGAGAGACTTGTTCAACTGAGTATATTTTCTGATCTCCAATAAATACCCCCTTGATTATCATAAGCTGCCAGGCACCTGCCATAAGTTGTTTATTCATGTATTAAAGAATAGCACGAA